TAAAGATGGCGTCAAAAAGCATTAAAGCATTTTTAATACTTAAACTACAGAGGGGGAAACCTAATGTCTTAAACTTGAACATATCTGTACCTAAAACAATTTATTTTAATTTTTAGGAAGTTTAATGCTTTAAGTCCTCATCTATTCTGTTATTTATTTTCTTTGCCTGTTATCTAAACTCATCTTGTCTCTGTTGCACTAACCGCACAGATACATTCACCGCAAGCAATTTTACTTTTTCTTTTCCAAGCATGCTGAGCTGTCTCTTCTGGAAACACGCAGCACCAGACAGGGCTTTCTTTGGGGAGCCAAAATTCCTCTGCATTGGCTCAGAGTTTTGGTCTTTTTTTTTTTTTTTTGGCATTTGAAGGAATGTATTTTTGACAGCGGTTCTTGTTTCAGCGTTCATCAACATACCCGTATAGACATATATATATATTTATATGAGCATGCTGAACTTCACCAGCTTGTTCTGTAATCTGTCGGCGTCCCTGTTCTATGACAAGCTGCAGACCGCTTCAGTTAACCGGGGTCAGATGTTTACTAGGGTCAGCAATTTAATCACTGCTGAACACAGAGAGAAAACATCAAAGTGTAATTTAACTGGTTGTAAAGCAACAGGGCACCCTCTTAGTTTTTATGGAATGGGACAGGGAGGGTCAAGTGAAGCCAAATAAAAGAAACACTATAAATTAGTAACCTGGGGAAGGGTTAATGACAAAACACTAAATAGGGGAAGGGAATGCTTTTACACAGAGTGCTCTAAAAAAGCCTTCCCTCTGAACACTTAAAAGTTGATTGCTGTTTGCAGCAATGGCTCTCCATGTATCACACCTTATATGGAGTAAATACAAAGAAACCATCCCATGAGGTTTGGTTGTCAACAGGTGACAATGAATTTATGTCTGCAGACATGTTTGAGGCAAGGCAAGGATTAGGCTGGATTACAGTGTTCTTTCTCTTTCCACTGCTCAATATAAAACCTGATGTTGTTTCCTCAGAGGAAGGGAGGCTCCCAGATGTTCCTGACGAGAGATCTATGCCAGGGGCTCATGCAAGAATGTGAAGTCCCTTGGAAACGGAGGAATCTTTCTGCAAAGCTTCACCTCCTGTGAAATCGCTTCTACATCAGTGTCATTATAGAACTATAATAGAACAGGAGAAAAAAGTTAGATTAAAAATCTGTTGGAATGAATCTGTGTTTGGATTTCATTCAATTACTCAAACTTTTACTCCTATTTGTTTATTTAATTTTCCTGTAATGGTTCAAGTTTTATAGAAAAAGTCCGGTCTGCAAGGAATAATCAACGGATCATTATCTATAACTAAAACTAATACGTTTGCGCTGATTTGATGAATTTAGGGTTAATCGGTAAAAAAATAAAAATAATTATTTT